TTTTTTTTTTTTTTTTTTCTGTCTACCTTAAACTCGACTTGCCATCTGTGCCCCCGTCATCAAATCAGTGAAATGTTGCTTCAGAGATGGCGAAGCCCGTGCAACCAGCGGTTCTGCCCGAAAACGGGCGAGGCGAGCTGCCCGATGAACGGGACAATGAAATCGTCATCGAGCTGGATCGAGAAAATCAGTACGGTCGTACGCAGCCACGAGCTAACGAGCCTCAAGGTAATCATTTGCGCAATATCCAGATGGTCCACCCACATCTCATGTCACCGACACATTTTTTTTTTTTTTCCTCCCTCCGTTTCTTTTGTTCATTAGTCTCTCGATCACACGTTTCCATTTTCCCCCTCCCCACACGCTTTCAATCATCCGATAGGTATACAGGATATCCTAGTAATAATTTTTCCTGACCAAACTTTCTTTTATGCGCGTTCTATATGGCTATAAATGAGATTAAAAATTGTTGTGTAAACGTTGCAGATCGTTTGAAGCGTTATTAAAAAGTTGTAATGAACGATGCTTCGTCCCCCGGTATCGTTAGATCTGACGTTAACAGAATTTGTTGTACAACGTTTCTTTCGAGAGGATGATGTATAACCGGTATCCAAATGGCGAGTAATATCGCGATAGGAAAAGTTGGTGATCGATTAAGATAGAATAAAATCGTGTAGAAAGAGTTATGATACAATCTCTTTATAGATGTTATAATGGAAAGTGTGAATATAAATTTATTGCTTTTGTGTAATTATAAATATGTATAAACGTGTATTTATTTTTCTTGTATAAGAAATAAGTGTAATACGAATCATGCATATTTTTAATAGAAAAAAAAAGCTCCAAACGATCTACAATTTTCTCTTGTCTATAACCATTATTAAAATACATCGATCAGGAAACGTCAAAACTATCCTGTATACCAACTCAACCACGATCACCAATTCCATTCTGTGCGAACAATTCGAGCTGGTTCAATCATTCGCGTCACACTGTTGCGGCTCTCCTCGTGTATATGTATCTGTTTCACGTATACAGTGTGTCCTAACTTTGTGCACCGTACTCACCCTGTTGTCTGTAACTAGTTGCACCGACCGGCCTGCCACCTGGTTTTTTTTTTATTAAGATGTACAGCCAAAACAGAAGGGAAAGAAAACGTGTGAAAAGAGTATGGGGAGAACGGGACTCGAACCATGAAATTGCTCTTCTGCCGAGGAGGGAATTGCTACTCTGGCTGTGCAACACCCTCCGGCTGGCGATCCAGTTTCGTGATTCGATTTCTTCGTGTCGAATGTAACGGTGAACCCAACGTTCGAAGAAGCTGTTCGAAGAGGCGGGAATAGGATTGATCGGCCATTCACGTACGTTAGATAGAATCGCGTCTTTCGACCGTGGCTCGGCCATTTTACGAGGGATCGTAATCAGAGAGATCGTTCCGGCGCGCTTTGACGTTGTCAAAAGCGAAATTTACGGATATCATCCTGATATGTAATATATCGATTGATTCGCTAATTGTACGCTAATTGCGTGATTTTCATCGATGAGCTGATAAAGGGATGAAGGCGATCGCTCCTTCGTTGCTAATTTGATGCGAGATGATGAGGGATCGAAAGGCTTGTACGCTTGTCGAGCGTTCTATGGGAGATTTGTAACTGTTTGGTATAATTAGAGGAGAGATGGATCTGTGGAATGGAATGAACCATCGTACGAGGCTTCGTTCGCGAGGGAATGATTTTCGAACATTGATTGAACATGGAAAAGATAAAACTGCAAAGAAAGAATATTTGGCGATATTTTGTTTTTACTTATGATTCTATGATTAAAAGAATATACTCAAAATTATAATAATTTTAATTTTTCAAGAAAAATCATTTAAGATTGCAAGATTTCACTTTATATATTAATTTAACAATTTTATAATTCAAATAAAAATTTATTATAGATTCATATACCCCGAAACGAAGCCACGCACAGAAACTTCATATTTTAAATTCTCTCGTTTCATCGTCTCCAGAATCCAAGAGTTACCATGAGTTACGAAAAAAAAAGAAAAGCCCATACAACCTCGTACACCGTACAATCGCGTCCCTTTCTCGGCAAATCTGTTTCCTCTCCCTTTCCTCCTCCCTACTATTTCCTCGAAGAAAAATCCCGTGGCCAAGATGAAGAAGCAAATACACACACCTTGTCTCCGCCCGATCACTGATTCAACTTTTATTGCAGACGTGATCGCGACACCGGTGGTGTAC